CCAATGCGTACTGCAACATAGAATCACTGAATTTTTGGCCTTTGCAAAGAATTCCACTCAGAGTTAACGAAGTTAACGAGCGATGCGTGCGATAATTTGCCAGATTCCATTAATTGGGATTTGCATCATTTTGAAATGAAATCGAAGTCATCATTTTGATCTTGTATGAAAATTTTCAAAACCAAATGAGGATCATTGATAATTGTGTCATCACTTCAAAGCAAACTAAGCGAGTGAATGTTCATTCGTGTACCGTTGGCACCATATTTTTGAATGAGTCCATGATTTTCGAGCTTTTGCTTTCTTGGTAGTACTGGAAGCAACCAGTTATGACAACAACAGACATCAGCACAATTCCAAGGTATAACTGAAAATTCACGGAGAAGATTGAGATGGGTAAATAGCAATGGAAATACGCTTGTGTTTGCGAATATGAAGAACGGTGTTGTGACAAAATGAATCGTTCATGATGAAAGCATTGTTTTGCTAAACATACTGACGTTATCTTTTGTTGGATATTCCATTGTGAGACGATCCACCGAATAGGCCACATAGCAAAGGAATGCGCCGACCCATAGAAGCAATGCAAAGCCACCGAAGAGATTTTTGCAGAATTTCACCCATTCTGGAGTGGTTTTCGGCGGTGATAGGGCGTTCTCGCCGTCACGAGCGAGTACTTGTGCTGCTTTCGCCGATGTCAGACCCTTCAACGAATTTTATCATACGGGCGAGATCTCTTTTAAGAGATATGCCACTCATGTGAGGAAAATTGCTCGTCTCTATCAGTTGGTGGTGAAAATGAAAATTGTTCTCAGAGATTATTTGATCTGCGCCAATCTTTGATCTGTTTCTTCATGTAACGCACGAACTGCTTCATGAAGCATTAAAAACATTCTCCAGTGGAATTTCCTCAGTTCGTTTTGAATCAGTCAACTGAGAATCATCATTCAAAGTGAATTTCATTAGCGAAAGTGGAATGTTGTTGGTGAAAAGAATTTTGCTTTATGGTAACTGCAAGAGGTATTGCGATGGTGTTACACGGAAGTGATGGCATGCTAATAGCGCTGTGTAATTACCGTTTCCAGGTTCGAGTTGTATCGTTTAACGAGCTCATCCATAGGAATCGTATGCTCGTCCTGAAATATTTTTTATCGAAAAACGTCGTCAACTATGCGGAACATTTAACCGATTCGAGAAAGAAAGGGTTCAACGAATGTAAAAATTTTATTCCTATGAGCTGTGACACCGCAAAACATTGAGCTCTTTTTGATGTATTGCAAGGATTGGGGAATTTCGGGAGGCCCGTTTCGATTCCTCGTCTCTGACTTTTTCGAATCGACTGCATTTTCCAATCCCAATCTGTGAAATTTCGGTCTCGACTTTTCCATTCCCGTTTTTTTTTCGTGCCCACAACACACTACTCTGTGAAACAATAGTTTGATGTTGTAGCACGAATATATGTTGCGATATCAGAAAGCCCTGTGCAATCATGTGAAAACTTCGCTGAACTCACCATACGAACTTCCTGTTTGAGCTCATTGATATCGGCACCCTTCTTTTTGCCCATCTGCAAAAAACCATTTCAGATGTAAACTCAAAAAAAAAACGTCAAAATACGTATCGAATTATGCATGAAATTGTCGAAAGGTGCAATTTGACAGATTCCAAATGCGTACCACTGTAGGGCAGCTACCTAACTTGAAGCGCTAGTGCTATACATTAGTAAGGATAGAAATCAATGAATCTATCCTCAATGTGCTTCGTCATTACGACTATTTAACATATGGAAACTTTCGCCGCTTAATTTCTTGGCAACGTGATGGACAGAAGCAATCCTAAGAAAACTTAGGAACACTTATCGTCGTAAACGAAACTATATGACGATAAGAATGGCTGGATGAACTGAAACGAAACATGACTGAGTCAACTAAGGAGTTACTGAGAGCAACTGGGGAACAGCCGGCTTTCAGAATCAACCATTGAACCTAGTGACGAAGGGCAAAGCTTGTGTTCGTCGAATGAAATGAACTGATTGCGTCAAGAACGGACGGACACACGATTGGCTGAGTGAATAGCTAAAAGGTTCTGATGTAGATGCATGTGTTTATGCTACTTGCTTAAGCTATTGGTGTGTGTGTGCATATACTTGGATGTATGATGCATTTGCGTGCACATGTTTTTAAAGTCCGATGTTAAGCAATTAAATGAAAATTTATCGATCGGCTACTAGAGTTTTTGGTAGCGTTTAAGCCTTAGGGCTTATTTGCTCTCATATAGCTGAGGTGGCGAGAACACATGCAATCATGCATATATATGTGAACGTACACGCTATTGATACAAAGAACGAATGAATGTCGTTGTCGTAACAGCCTTCGATAGTGCACTCAAACACATTGCAGCCGAATGAATCACACATAGAATGTATAAGCTACTAGGCATTAGCATTTTTTCCACTCTGAATACGAACGATTCCACTCACTAATATAATCACGACGTTCAGTACAAGGAGGTGGTGTCTAAGGCGAAATCTCATTCTTGGCCGTATCTCTCAAGATCTGAAGCATAGCCACTTGAATCGATATTTCTTTGAATTAGCCACTTAGCAACGCTCGGAAAACCCAGAGAGTGAATTCAAGTGAATTTGGAGAAAACTAATGGTATTCAAAGATGCGATATATTCATAAAACAAATCTAATCACTCTCAGCTAGCGCAGTTTTGACTGAAAAGACTCTTTTGGGTTTGATGTGTGGGAAGTTTCATTTCAAAACTGGATTTCTCATGGAAAGGTACAGGGCAAATGCACAGATTTATACGCTTGTCATGAAAACAAAACAAATCGCACTGGATTTAACTTAGCAAATAACTAAATTAAGTTAAATCCCGTTAAGTTAAATCCAGTGCGATTGATTTCATTAGGAAATAACTAATTGTATGTGAATGCGTTAAAAGATGATGAAATGCATGTATGAAGAGATGTGATGTGATTATGCTGCAAATTATTAAAGTAGAAATGAATCAGAAGTAATAGGAAATCGCACATGCAATGCATAGTGCAAGTGCTAACAAGGGTGAATTCGATCAGATTAATTGTTTAAGAGATCATTTATCAATAAAGGCAGTTAAGTTAAATCCAGTGCGATTAATTTCATACTCACTTTATGATCGTTAGTCATTCAGAATGTCCAGTGCAACGATAAACTTTCAACTGATCCGGATCTCATTGTTGAGAAGCCATAGAAGCCAGCAAAGCTTTTCCTGTGATAATTTTCTTGTAGTTACTGCTCGATGGAGCTGCGAAACAAAATCAAATGATATTTAGTAAACAAGGAATCTTTTTTTTAAAATTGTAATTCAGATTGTGCAGTGAACGAGTGCTTGATAGGCTTTTAAGTGGCTCGGATGAATAGTAGACATCTGCTCTGAAGCATTTTTCATGTTCTTTTCGGTAATCATTTCTTGGATAATTCCCCGCAAACGGTTCTGTTTTACGGGAAACATTTGGAGGACACAGGTGACGAAAAGCGATTCTTTAGGGAGCCATCTGAAATGATGCGTTTGAGGAGAGAGTTGCACCACAGAAACTATTCGGTCAGCTCACCATGATCGCCTTTATCAACACTAATTGCGTTTTGATAAGCGAATTTGCATTGAAGAAAACAAGCGCTGAAGACTTCATTCTGATGCTGACACAGTCCAACTCAACCAAATTTGAATATTCAAAAAAATCTCAGCGTAAATTGAATGAATATGATGAGGTGTAAGCAAAAAATTGCTCCTCGGAAGTGGTTATAAGGCGTTGGATTGAGGAATGAAGCGGTTAGTTGAGTTATTTTTTCAACTGTTTGTTGTTGCTCGATCATCGGATTATCGATCGGGCTATTATCGGATGCGTGAAACAAGAAGTGATTATGAGGTGGATGGATCGAGAAGTGTGCTAAGCGATGATGAATGTTACGAGACTTATGATGGAGATGACGATTCATTCGACGACGAACTGACGATGACCACTCGTTTCACGAAGACTACTTCAGTCACATCACCGTGTTTCCACTCACCGCAGCACTGCAGAAACATCTCGAGTNTCGAGTTGTTCACATCAACAAAACCGGCAACAACATCAACGAGAAATCGAAGAATCCGTGTTGTTGACTTCAACGAGGAGTTCGTTATCGGATTCCTATCTGATGATGTCTGAAGATCGTTGCCTTCCATCTAACCCCTCAACACCATCACTGTATTCATCGTCGAATTCGTCACTATCTCAATTCACCTCTTCATCAATATCAACTGAAACTTCGTTGAGCACATCGAATTCGCACATTCAAATGGCCATTACCCATCGATGTATATGTGGCAAACGATTAACGTGCTCCAAGCACCACTATTCACCAGTATCATCAACACGCCAACCTCAGCGTTTTTCAACTCAACAACCTCTTCATTCACTTTCTAGTATACATCGTTCTATATTTGTGAAAATTTCCTCGGGCAATTTCATTCCGGAGAATCAGATTGAGCAATTATTTTCAAGGTGTGTATTACTTACATATCATTTTAAAATAACGTGTTCACTGCAGTTATAATTCTTGAACTGAAGTAGTGTTGTGCCACGATCAATAAACGCAACCCCAGAGCTATTGTCACAAAACATAGAATCAGCAGCAACTTTCAGATTTGGTAACATTCTATTGGTAAGATGGTGTCAGTTCGGTCAGTCAAATGGCTATTTGATAACGTTCGAAAGCCAAAAGCAAATGCGCTATGCTATGAAGGTTTGAATTGATGATTTTGAAGTTCTGAGGAATACGACTAATAGCTTGTTGAGAATATGACGGAAGAATTTAATTTTTTTTGGGAGGTAAGGGAAAGAATCGAGTTGGCTCATAAAATTTATCGTTTATTACAGACAACTGGCAAACGAGTGGAGTTGAATGGATGCATACTGGCGGTGAGGTGGGCTAGCTTGAAACCGAGCAAATGGCGATTGTTTCTAACTCCAAACCGTAAGTGGTCATTTCGTGTTGATTTTCAGTATTAACAAAATTTTTGCAATGAACGAAATTTTCCGCGTGGTGCTTTTGACGTTTTCAAGAATTGCTGCATTTATGATTATCAGGTTTTGATGCGAGATGCCAACTTTGCTTTGACTGTGACATTAGATTGGACGACATAGTGAGCAATGAGTCGACGTGAAGAGATGCTATATCGCATGATTGCTATATTGAATGATAATTCGAAACAGCGTACATTATTCTGCTGCAAGCTGAGCTTCTACATAGGAGAATATGATAGCACCTTGATGTTTGAATCGTGTGCATATCTCTTATTCAGGACGTGCAAAGAGATCACGAGGAACCCGAACGACTCGAACTGCTCAAAGCATTCCATCAACCCATTGTGATGCTGACACTGTATCATGGCCAGTTGGTATAACTGTCAGCGAATTGAGAAATATTTACACCAACTATTTGAAAACTCATTATTCACAGGTAAATTGAAGGCGCATTTGATCGAATAGTTATGCTACTGCTATTCACTGTCGTTCAGCAAATCATTGTGAGAAGCGAGAGAAATTTCAATGAACTCATTCGCCATACTATCTCTCAATGCAGTGGTTGTCATAAGGAATGGAGTTACCAATTTGGGTAATTTGGAGGTGTCAGTGGGTAGTGGAGGGGATCGGGAAATAAGTATTTCATGCAGTTCTTAGTTATGATAGGATGTCGTTGTGATGGTGTTTTTTAACTGGGAAATGTAAATGTTGATGGCAAGACTCTTTATTAATTGATGACAACACTGTTTATTCTCCTATTTTCTGGCTTTTCATTTGTTTTAACAAGATTTTCATTCTTTTCCTTGCTGTTGCAATCGCTCTCATAACTTTTATCACCAAAAGTGTTCTCTTCGACTAATTTCTTATTCAGTTCACTCAACGATTAAAATCAAATCCTCATTCTATCAAATACACTCTATAATTGATCATTTGACCGTCGAACGTTG